CATTTTTGCAGATTTCTTCATAATGTTGCAATGTACAAATCGTTTGTTGAAGCGAAGTGTCACTGGAAAATTATAACAGACAGGCCTGAGTGTCCCATGGAGGCACATGTAGAGAAGCAAAGTGAGCACCTGAATGCCAACTCAAGTACATTCAATGACAGCACCATTCACTTATACAATTGCTTTAAGATTCTCGAATGTTAAATATTATTGTCAAAAGAATAACATGAGAGCTAGCAAGGTTGTATGTAGTCAAGCCGTGTCACAACAGCAAAAATATAAGAACAGGTGAAACTGCAGAACTTGCGCAACATCGCTGTTTCTTGGTCCCAAGCATGGCAGGGGAGAGTTGCTGCCGGAACCTGTCACGCCAGAGAAACAATCAATGTTAATGTCAGAAAAATAAGACAAAGACAATAAATTTCCTGATTCAATTTTGATTGGCACTTGGCGCTCCCCATGCAGCAACTTTTTGAACACGACCACCATCGCTGATCCACCTTGGGCCTATTCTAATTTGCAAAGTGGCCATCATTAGTTCGAATTTCAGAAGTTCAGCGGCGGCTCCATGTCGACAAACTGGCGCTTGCAGAGCTCTGACTCTGGATGGTTTTCGTGGACCATGACATCGTCTTCTGGTGCTTTTCGAAATCTTGCTCACCCCAGTGCCAGCCATCATCATCGTCACGCTCTCTTTTCTTCCCAAAGCCCTTGCTCTTCAACTGCGGCAAGGTCTTCTTGTTCCATCGCTCTGCAGGCTCCTCTTCAGAGCTATCCTTCACATGCACTGGCCGATTTTCATCATCAGCATGCCACTCCTCAGGCTCAGCATGCCACTCCTCAGGCTCAGCATCAGCATGCCACCACTCCTGCTCCTCCTCCTCTAGGTTCTCAGCCGGCTGCCACTTGCCCCATGTGTTGTCGTCATCATCATCACCAGCATGTTCTATCCACCACCAGCCTCGCCGAGCGCTCCATGCCCATTCTCCTGACTGCCAGCTATCATACCACGAATTGTCATACTTGTCCTTGTAGTTGTCACCCTCCAGCTCGGCATCACTTTCAGGCGGAGCCTCACTCTCCACATCGAAGTTCGTAATCGATTGCCAAGCTTTGATCCAGTCATGAAACTCATCATCGATCATCTCCAGGGATGGTGTGCTTGGAGGACCTGGTTTGGTGAGGAGCCTTGGTGGCCACATTGAAGACTATGCCACTGTCACACACTGCACAACTCTGCTCAACAAGCTGACGATGAAATGACTCTTAGTGGACTTTGTCCTTATCAATTTATGCTGTCGATTTTTTGTGATGCAAGCAATCTAGCATCTGACGCCACTGGCCAAGAAACCCTTGGTGGCTTGGCAGCCAAAGCTTGCAGCCCAGAATGCGAGCAACACAAATCGCCACTGTGGCAGATCGATTGAAGCCTTGGCTGCCTCAGGACCGGCCAAACACATTGATGATTTAGTCCAATGTTGAATTTAGAATAGAAAGCAAAATTTCAAAAGAACTGACTGAATCGAATCAAAAGCACACGTGCACTTGGAGAACAAGTTACAAATGAGCGCAAACAACAAATTCTCTCCAACAGAGTTGGACCTAAAGCTCAGGATCGAGTCCAAGCAGAAAGCAATGCATTTATGGCATTCATTGGCTCCAGCATGATTGTGAAGGGCATCTGCGCTTTGGAATGGATTGCCTTGGATTGGGCATGAAAACCGCTAATTCAAGCAATGCAGAACAACAATCAAAAGAATGCATTGCTTGTGCAACAGCTGAACATTGCACAAACAAAAAAATTGAGTGATTCCTTGCAAACAAAAAACCACATGATTTGGCCGTTGCTGGGTCATGCCAAAAGCCTCTGACATCGATGCTGACAATGGCGCTGTTGCGAAATTTACCTGAGACGATCATTGTAACTTCAATCTTCTGGGTCAGCAATGCACAGGTCCCAAAAGCAGCAGAAGCATCTCATGTGTAAAAAACAAATTATCAAATCAGCGGCTCATGACTCATGACGAGAAACCTTTCAACCAGCCATGCATCACATCCCGGCCCTTCATTTTGCCTTTGTGTGTCTGGTAAAGGTGCTCCACGCCCCAAGCCATCACGGTCAGATCAAATGCTCCCATGACAGGAGCAGCAAGTGGGAAGAATGACTTAGTATCATGTTGATGTATCGCTCAGCTGTTCCTGCCTGAAAAGGGCTTCAAAATGTTTGCAAACTTTATCAATGACAAAACCATGGGTGTTGGCCTTCGAGATTGTTTTATGCTTAAGCTATGTATGCCTGTGCACTCCTCCACATTGGTCCAAGGAAGGACAAGACAGTAACATTCACACACAGATGATTCAACGGCCAACTCCAGTGCTGAAGCATTTCAACTTGTCAAACACAGAAGTCAACCAAGACAATCCTGACAATCTCTGTTGTCAGTCAAACAGGCCACCGGCACCAGCATCTGAGAAGGGCTGTTGCGCAAAGGCCTCACCTGATGCCAAACTCAAGTAACGAATGAACGAATCAATAACCATAGTACAACTTCAAACCGACTTGACCCAAGATAATGACAATGAAATCAGACATCACAAAACAAGGACACATGTCATGACAGTGGTTTTTAGTAACAACATGTTTTGATCCATTGTTCCATTTGATTGAATGATTAGAAATCACAACGCAAGCTGTCAATGACATATCTCACCTCAAGTGTCAATGACGAAATTCAATCATCCAGAACATGTTGGTCCGAAGTGTCCATCGAGCACTCAGCACTGTGTAGGTTTATGACAGTTTGTTGCCATGCCCTGAGTGCCTGTGGGGTGGACATTGAGAGAATGTCAATGTCAATGACTAGACCCTGTGCCTTGAAGATTCAAGATGACTTCAAATGCAAAAGCAATGTAAAACAAATGAAGATTGATTTGATTTTTTTGTTGATCAATTCAAGATTGTTTCAGTTTGTGCTGTAATTGGTTTCCAGGTCCTTGACTTGACACTTTTGAAAGCCGTGCCTGTGTAGATGCATGAGATCCACATGGAGTGCCTTGCAAGTTTGACTTGAATGAAATGAACTGTGGTTTCCAGTTTCTTGATTTGATTTCACATCTTCTATTCAAAATTTGTTTGTCCCGTGCATGTCTAGAAAAATATTTGTCTAGAACATATTTGTTTCATGAGATGGTTAAATTTAAATTGATTGACAAACTTGAAGAACGCATGAGCCACCTGGTAGCTTCACCATTGTGGAGCTTCCAGATACGCTGTCGCATCCAAGCCTGACAAAGTCACTCTTGTCATGAAACTCAAAAAATAAGTAAGTCTTGTCCAGCAGTTAGTTCATGATCCCTTACTGACTGGCACTCTCTGGTCTAGGATTGCTGCGCATGAACTGATGGTCAGCATGCAGACCTACCAGAGCCCCCCAAACATCACAATTCCAAAACCTATTTGCAAGTGGCATCACGTTGAGCAACCGATGATCTGGGTCCCATACAAGAATGACATCTTAGCAGCGCAGTCCATACATGAGGGAGCCTGGGTGCACAAGTTACCCAAGTGAAACTATTAAAGAAGTATGTAGTAGTTGCGTAGGCATTTTTGGTCAACCTCTGGAAGCCTGTTTGGATCACAGGGCGATGGAGTTATACTTAAAATTAAAATCATTGCAGTCATTGACAAAATTTCATTGACTGAGACTGGAAGCACCATCAATATGCATCATGAACTTGATTCTCAGTGCTGAACGCACCATTTTCCAACCTCACAAACTGTGTGCCACATGACATGGCAAAATATCTTCCATTCAAGTAATCGAAAGTCCATGGCTACACATAGTACAGTACACACATGACATTAAGCTCTGAGATCGAAGCAAGTCCGACAGGGACCAGGGATGCACCACCACATGTGCCGGGCAAAAAACGACAGCAGATAACAGCTTTACTGACAAGAGTCAATGTTTCTCAATGACAGAAAAATCAAACTTGTGACAATCACTAAAGGGAATACATAGTGCCAATGACACTACAGCAATGACAGCCTTCAATGAGAAACAATGTTGCTGTTCTTGAACCGGCTCACATTGACAATGTTTTTTTATTTGTTTGAATCAGTGCTCAAATTTTTAAGAGCACCCTCCCACCCTTCCCTGGTTTGGGTTGAAAAGTTTCGAGAAATATAACATATTCGAAATCACTTCTCAAATAACGTTGGATGACATCGTTTAAATAATGAAGTGTTTAAAGGTAGGGGGTTCCTGTTATGTTGTGTCACCGTTTCTGATCTTCAGTATTGATCACAGAAGCACAGAAAATATTTAAAGGTTTGCACAACACAACACCTAGGGGAAGGTTGTTTCACAAACAATCCCTAGTGAATATAGGAACCCATCACTACACATTATAGTATTGAAAGGGGTTTTGAACTTCACAACATTGGTCACGTTCCAAACATCATAGCAAAAAGTGCCTCAACCGAACGTGCTTCGGTTGAGGCACTTTGGTTATACACAGCACAAGACGGCACGACGCATAACGCAGATAATGCCACACAACCCAAATGCACAACCCCCAATCAACACCCTTAACCAACATGTACGCTTCAGGTCTATGACCTTGCGCCGAGTATTAAGAAACAGCAGGATCAGCACGCTGAGCTGGTAATTTTCCCGGTGGTTTGGCTGCGCGAAAGGGGTTAAGAAGGGCGACTTTTTTGCGCCCAAAAAGGGTCCCAAAAACAAAGAAAAAAGTCGCCAGTAAAAATCCCAAACCAAAAGGAAAATTACTACGCTGAGCCTCTACATCATAATGAAGTGTTGGTATCGTGTTCATGAGCTACCCAAAGAACAAACAGACCACTACTTTGCTGCGGTGGAGCACGCTGAAAGAACACTTTTAAATTTCAAGTAATCTTGATCAAAACTGCCAGTGAAAAGGTATCTGATCTAGACCTCCCCAAACTAGACCCCCCCAACATCTTTGGGAAAGCAGCCATGGCAAACACGAACCTGCCGGAGGGCAACCTGAAGCGCCTGGCATCGACTCACGAGTTGGAGGAGAAAATGGACAAGAATCCTTCTTCGCCCCATGCTGGTGGATCACCAGAAAACCTCAGCTCTTCTGACAGTGAGAAGACAATTCGTTTGGAAGATGTCAAGGAGGATGTGGCTGCCACTCCAAAGGATCCCAACACCGAAGAAGATGATGGGCAAGAGGAAGTTGGACAATTCTTCGGTCGAAAGATGAGGGTTGCCTACGGACCTGGCTATGGTCCTGGCTCCATCAGCAGTGACACCTTGGCAGCATTGCTTGGACCAATGTTGTTAAAGCCAACCATGGACCAATACGCTGCTGGGTTTGCCGAGCACTTGCAGCAGAGTCAGAGTAGCTCATCAGCAAGCACGGCGCCAGGACAAGGGACTCCTGATGCTGATGCGAAGCCACGGCCTGATGCCAAGCCAAAGTCGAAGAAGTCAGCGAAGAAAGGCAAAGGATCCAGGTTTCATATGGCCAAACGCCATTGAGCCATTGAAAAGTTTAGACAAAGTTTCCTGAAATGGCAAACAGTTTTGACATAGAAATGATCAGATCTAGCGCTGAGTGCCGACAGAGATTTGGAAAAAAGGTGCGTCTCACTTCTTGAACACAATCATGTACTTTGAGAACATGTCCACAGCATTTCGAACTTTCTAAGAAGTTTCTAAGAAACTTCCAAGCTATGACTTAGAAGTTTTTTCGAAGTTTATCAGTACTTTCCAATGAAACTTCTTACAAACTTCGAAGATATGTTGATAAAACACTGTAAATACCAATAAATTTGAGAATGAAACTTCGAAGTAGGACTTCGAACTTTTCATCATAAACTTCGAATTGCCATTTCGAAGTTTCGAAGAAGTTTCGAACAAACTTCGAAGCTTACATTTGACTGCTGTTTTTGGCCACTGTCGCACTACATCATTTTCAATCAGTTGCGTTCAGAAACTTGTCATTTGCTTTGTCTCCACAAGACTTTTTCACAACTTGTCGGATCTACTAACCGCTGAATTTTCTTTGCAGCCACTTGGATACATTCATAGATTTCTACTTCTGTGAAGAGCTGTGTGCTTGCAATGCCGGCTTTGAAGCGACCATCATCTAGTTCTTCGGCAATGCCCAAAAAGAAGGCTGCCAAGGAGACCATCCCAGGAACAGTTGCATGTCTCAGGAAGGGGATTCAAAATGATGATGACAATGCTGATGGTGATGCAGGACAGCGGGACAAGTACAAGGCAGAGAAGTGGGCAAGACTTCGCGCCACTGGTGCACTTCCGGAGTACTTGCTGCAGCTGTACGACCAGGAGTCAAAGCAATCACCGATGGGGAAGCGGGCCTTTCAAACCACAATCATAAACAAACTCTTCAAGAAGGTCAACGGGGCCTGGCAGTTGGACACGTCGGACGCCCAATTCAAGGACTACAAGTCTCTCTACTAGCGCCGCTACTCGAAAGAGGAGAACGAAGCGATGCCGAAATCGTTGATTGTGGGCCTCTATTACCAGGGGGATGAGCAGAAATTTAACCGAGCTTTGGAATTGGGCGAGCTGCAGCATGTCAAAGATGATGGCGGTGTGCGTTTCTACTCATACAAGAAGCTCACCTCTGCGGTTGAGAAGGGCAGTGAGCAGAGGCTCGAAGCCATTGGGACGAAGAAAGGCAAACTTCAAGAGTTTCATGAGATTGGGGATCTGTTGTCCAAGTTGAGCTGGACTTTTCGCAAGAAGCCAGGAGATCAGAAGGAACTTACTGCTGGGAGCCTCCCCACTAGCTACGAGTCCTTGATCAGAAAAGCACATGGAGCTTGTGAAAAGTTGTCGAAGGACACTCTCAAACTTCAGAAAGAGGTGGGGCATGAGCGCAAAGAGATCATGAAGGATGGATACAAGTCCATGTCTGCTCACTTGGCCAATTTGGATCACATGAAAAACTTTGTGGAAATGCCGGATGGCACAAAGCTCACCAGCACGGTTTTCGAATCAGCTCTTGGAGATGTCGCTTCTTCGGTCGACCAGCTGAACACGAAGATTGAGGAGATCAAAGGCTACATGAAGTCCAAGCCCAAGACCAAGGAGTCTTGATTCAAGTCTGTGAGATATCCACAGAAAATTTCTCAAGGGCCTGAATACAAATGTTTGAGTATGTGTGTGAAAACCACATAAATTTTGTGTATCTGGCCGTCAACGGTGAGTCAAATGCGACGGGGAAAACAGTGCAAATGCGTGACAGTTTTTCTGTATATGCTTTGAAAACAAGTTCTTTTCAGAGAGACACTCTGTGAAACATGTGTGTTCATGATTTTTTGACAATTAAATTGGGACCCAAGGTGTGGTGGTATTTAAGTTGTTTAGTTTTGTATATAGTTTGCCTGGTTCTAGTGTTTGGAAAGAACTTTGAGATAACCATGTGGGAAAACGTTGTGTCAGACTTTGAGAAAACTTTGAGGGATCTTTGAAAGAACCCTGAGAGAACCTTGAGAGAAAACCCCGAGAGAACTCTGAGAGAACTTTGATAGAACATTGTGACAGGACTTGGACGGTCTCTCTCTCTCTCTCTTTCTCTTACACATTTCTGACTGATGTCTTCTCATGCAACAAATTTCATGTACACAAATTACTTTGATGCCCTCTGTGCAGTCGTACTGTCTAACCGCGAGCGAGTGAGAGTAAGATTTGGAGTGAGAGTGGGTTACTTTGAGAGTGAGAGCATGCATGAGAGTCTTACTGTGCACAAAACACTGGTGGGTACATCACAGTATATACTGGTTTTACTTTGAGAGAACTTTGAGAGAGGTTGGACTTGTGTAGAAGGAAAATGTCCGAAAGTTCTAGGTTTGAAGACTTTCAAGATGGTTGCATGCTGACTCTCAAAGTGAGCATCAACAACACTCTCATGGTTAGGACACACTCTCATGGTTGCATAAAAACACAGGAACAAAACTCTATATCCACTTTCTCGACCCCGTATGCAATGTTTTTATTTTCAGATCACAAGAAAAATTAAACATGTCGTATATATAACCAAACCTTTCAACACCATCATAGAGTCAGAAGAGTTTCTTTTCAGGGCCAGCTGTGCACCCCATATCGACATACATCTGAGTTAGATCTTTGTTTACCACCGCCATGGTGGCGCACATTTCTCGAAAACGTGATCGTTCTGGTGGCCAGAGGCAAAGACTGCGACGCATGGTGCAGGAAGAACAGCTGAACTGCCAGAGCGTTCTCTGTACTTGGTTGTTGTCAATGTTTGCATGGGGACACTTTAGCGTGCAACGAGTACAAAAGATCAGTGCTTTGGTTATGAAAGATTTGAAGAGTGCTGAGACTTCTGAAACAATCTGGAATGACTTGGAGACATTATCCAAGTTAGGAACTGAAGGTCTGTACGCGAACAAGATGCACACGGAGCTCATGGGCAAATGCAAAGGCTTGTCTAACCTACCGGAGCCTTACCCAGTGGATATCCAATATGCTCCGCCTTTGGGCATGCAGAAACAGGATGTTTTTCTTCCTCATGAAGTCTTCAGCGCAATTTATCACAAGTATCCACAAACTTGGCAAAAAACGATGGTACCGTCGCAGGCTCACTTGGAAAGGTTCTGGACAGTCACCGATGGCCATCCAACCTTGGTGAATTCCCCGCTGAAAGAATGTCCTTCTTACAAAACGAAAGCTGTCCCTATCCTGCTGCACGGGGACGGGGTTCCAATCGTCGGAATTGGAAAGGGATGGTCCAAGATTGCAACTGTGTTTAGCTGGGCCAGCATGCTTACATCTTCAGGGACCAAGGAGTCCATGAAATTTATATGGGGAGCTTTCGACAAACTCTGCAAAAAGGATGGTGAGGGAACTGATGGTACATTTTCAACATTTTTCAAAGTTCTAGTCTGGTCGCTGCAGCCTTTGTATTCGGGTAAGTGGCCCCATCGGGACCACAATGGACACTTATTTCCTTCATCTTCCTGGCGGGGAAAGTTGGCAGGTCGTGATCTGGCGGCAGGTTTCACTGGTTATCTTTTCTCTGTCATTGGAGACATGGATTATTTTTCATCGATACTACAGCTTCCTCACTTTAGCTGGGCAAAGGGGCCGTGTGCACTTTGCAAATGTACCCTTGGTGGAGTGACCACATGGACAGACTTTAGAAAGACTGCGGCTTGGCTAGGTACTCGGTGGAGCAAAGCCGACTGGTTTAATTTTGAGGCTCGCTCCATGAACCCTTTATTCAACGAATTACCTGGGCAATCTTGTCACACTGTGTCGCTCGACCTGATGCATTGCAAGTACTTGGGCCACGATATGTATTTCTTTGGATCAGTTCTCACACTACTATGCCAGTACCTCTTGCCTGGAAGCGAAGAACAGAATTTGAAAAGATGCTGGGACTTTTTGAAGCGATTCTACAAGGAGCATTCCATTCCTTCGCCTTATCGATATCTGACTAAGATATCTATGTTCATACGCAAAAAGAAGTTTCCCAAACTACGGGGCAAAGCGTCGGAGGTGCGACATCTAGCAAAACCACTATCAGCATTGTGGGCTCATTTCATGAATAAGAACGTGGAGACCCACAGACAAATCGATTTATATCTCAGACTAAATATCCAGTTTGAGAACATTTTGGACGACCACAAGGATGACTATGCCTTACCCCTTGCTGCCTACACTGCCTTTATGAATGCAGCATTTTCTATGATGCAACTGTGCTCATCACTGGCAGACCATTTTATTCAAGAGGGTATACCCATGTTCGACATGACGTCGAAGGCGCATGCTGTCCTGGAGATTGCAATTCTCAGTCGTCACATAAACCCGAGAACTACTTGGTGCTTCCGAGGAGAAGACATGATGCAGAAAAGTCAAGTTTTGCTACAAAGTTGCGTTCGAGGCAACAACGGAGCCCTTTGCTTCAGGAAGATGCTTGCCCACTATAGATTTGGTTTACACATGCTTTTCACTGAGCACAAAGATTGAAAAAGTGACAAAAAACATGGCTTGGTTGTGATGGGACTGTATATGCTGGCGAGAAACTTGTGAACACAGAGAGAAATTTGTCTTATACATACATATCTATATATATATATACTTGTTTATTGATTTATTGTGCATTCATTCGTTTATTTGTTTATATTACAACACTAGATAGATTTCTCCTATGTATATCTACATATTTATATTGCAAGTTGTTTATGTCTTAACTTTTAGGATATGACATGGTTCTTTTGGGATCACTCTCAATGGAGACACGCAGTCACACTTAGAGAGAGAGAGACCTGGAGAGTCATGAGATACTTGGAGAGAGATGGTTCTTCGATGTGGTGTGAGTGTGTTTTCTCTCTCTGTCAGAATTCGTTTATCAAAGGGCCTTGGGCGCCATCCCGACACGTCTTCCTGAGACTTTTGTGATCTCCCGAGCTCAAGCCATGGACGTGCTTTGCGACCGCGATGAGTCCCCGTGGTTCAGGGTCCTTTCAGGAATGGTATTCCTTGTCAAAGCTGGCTATAGGGATCGATTTTTCTTATCCCTCATGGACTTGCACCTTGGTGAAAAATAGTACTTGTCTTACTTTTCTTTCTTTTTGGAGTGGATGCTCTATTAAAAGGGTTTTGCCAAACACTCTTGACGTGCAGGCACAATTTTTACAATGGCTGTCCACAGCAACGAAAGGAGGACCACATGCAAGGGTTCCACGAACGCTCTCGCTTTCAGTGGGGAAGTTGGGAGATCAAGGCAAGGGGAGTTCAAACATATTTGTTAAGTCTAGGGTAGAGAATCTAAAGTGTTTTCAAGTTTAGGTTTCGTATTAAACACAAAAACAAATGTGGTAAACACCTTCGTTGAATCTGTTGGTGTCCAACCTTGCTGCCAGACAATGAATGGCCTTGTGGTTCCTCGATGGGATCTTTGGATGTCCAACCGTGGCAAAGCTCGAGACTTTTTCGAAAGTTGGCTACATGTGCAGATGCGAGACTCTCCAGGCTGCGACCTCACCTACCAAGTATTGGTCTTCTTGGACCGGCTCTTCATGGCAGGCTTGAAGCTACATGGTGAAGACCACCGAGATGTCTTTACAAATCCTGAAGACTTCTTGGAGCGAATGCTGCGACATGAAGGGCAACTTGGATACACCATATGAGATTACATTCTTCATCTTTTGATAGATATATATATATATATGTGTGTGTAGCTTTTTACGTGGTTTTGTTGGATGCAGAGAAAGCTATACAATCACCTGACCTCCATACTTTTTGAAAAACATTATGGATGTGTTTTTTGTTTCACTGAGAGGTGTTTCCCTGAATCCAATGAGGTACCATGTCGAAGATCAGAAAATATGGCTTGTTGACGAGAGCAGCGGCTGGTGGGAGGAGAAAAAGCCATGTGGTGTAAATTTGAAGGAAGCGTTTGACTTGTTGCACGATGTGAACCTAAAAGACATCATGCAGCAGTGGGTTGAACCCAGTGCTCCTTCTTTGCAATGGCAATAATGAGAAGTATATACGGAACATGTGCAATTTATGTTTACAAAATATTTCAGCTGGACTGAAACACATGAACACCCACATATATATGTATATTACGATCCTATGCAGTATATGAATAATTTCATGATGTTATCATGTGAGAGGAGTGTCACAATATACACAAAAATCATTGCCTTTGCCGCATATAAGCTTTTTTGCTTTTGAATTTTGGCCGGCCTTCACCCGAAAAACTTCGGTGTTGTGGCAGAGCTGAGACTAGGAATTGTCTAGTCTGGTAAAGATCTGAAGGATCCCTTTTTAGGACCCACAGCTGTTTACAGGACTTGGACTTTTGGATGTGTCCAAATCTGTAGTATATAGGAATAGGCACGGAGACAAACCGATCTCTGGCTCAACAAGGAAGGCTGTGCTCTTGTGTGTGAGGGGTATGGGAGCGAATTTGGGAGAGAACCCTGTGAGAGAAGACTTTGAGAGAACTTCGAGAACTTTGAGAGATTTCTTGTTCATGTGTTTTTTGAGAGAGATGATATTTATTAATTAATTATATGATTAATGTTGTTTACTTAGTTTTGAACTGTCACTGAGGTACTTGTAATTAGCAGTAATACTTTAGTTCAAAGCACATAAAAATCAGGAACAAAAAACAGGTAAACAAAAATAACATTATTCTAAGTCCACCCAGGAACTCTGCATTTGCCACATCCTGACTGCCAAGGAATTCTGCTGAGAAAAATGCCAGCTCCACAGGAACCACAGGCAACCTTAGGCTCATCCAAGTACCTGGGGTACTTGACCATAACCTCCTTATCCTGATTCTGGAACAGCTCAGAGATGTAAGGTCTCTTAGGATCACATGGTTGCACCAACTGAGCATGCTTTCCCTTCTCTGATCTATACACCATTCCAGCAGGAATAGTGCTAAGGAGTTGCTGAGGTACCCAGGGCCCATATCTGCCCTCAGCATCCTTTTTTCCTGAGCCTTGGGCAGCTGTCCTCTGCTGCCAAGGGTGATTCTGCTGACTAGCAGCAGTGTTTGAACTCATGGCTTGCAAGAAGTGCAGCTGAGTTGGTGGAAATCGCACTGAGATCAAAGCAGCTGAGGAATCACATAGACATGCATAATTCAACACCATGCAAGCAAAATATCTAGTTGACTAATTCATTTATTACAATTATATATAATGAATCAATAAATATATAGTTATTGAATATGATGCATGTGCAAGTAATTATAAGAAACTTACACATGCATAAGCATGCATTACTGATCAAGATTGCCACAAGTCTGAGGCCATGGTCAAGCTGAGCACCAATCCTACCCCACCAGAAACACCCTTCAGTCCTCTGGAGCTAAGTGATCTCATGGTGCTGAGTGATTCCAGCATGCTCTTCAGCAGCACCATTGCTGGGAAAATCAACACAGTTGGATCTGAGCCTTCACAAGCTTTGGTATATAACATCAAAACTAAGTAAAGATTTTCCAAAGGATGAGTTTCAGCCAACCAAAAAAAAACATGAATGATCATGATACAAAATAGTATGGTTTGTTTGGGGGTACACTATTGTGTCCAGCTGCTTCCTGATGTTTTTTTTAACATTCTCTTTACCTTTTCCTTTGCTATTATTTTTTATTTTCTCAATTAGTTTCTTTTATTTACAATTCTCAGAAATGCTCAATTTCTCAAAATATATGATGCCTTATTAAAACCCAATTAAAAACATGACTCAAACAATTTTTCAAGAGGGTAGTCCATGAGTAACCCTGATACACAATAGTATGGTTTGTTTGAGGGTACACTATTGTGTCCAGCTGCTTCCTGAGGTTATATTTTTTTTCCAGCATTTCCTTTCCCTTTTCCTTTACTAAAGTTTGTTTCCTTTTACTTAGCTTCATTCTTCTTGGAATCTTCTTGGAATCAAAACCAAAGGCTTTCCAAAGGATTAGTTTCAGCCAACCAAAAAAACATGAATGATCATGATACACAATAGTATGGT